CGCTTTGAAAATCACATTAGAATATTACTGCCATATATGGTCCAGTGTCCCTGCTATTTTCATGGAGCTCCTCGATAAGATCCAACGAAGAATCAACAATATTATTGGTCCTGATCTGGCAGCTCAGATTCTGTCATTTCCCCGCCGCCATAAGGTTGTACCTTTTCCATAAATACTTTTATGGCAATTGTTCAAATGGGTTCTACGCTATGGTACCTAGACTGTATGAATTTAAGTATAATATTAAACAGGCGGCGAGACCTCATTAATTTAGAGTTGATATAACTAGACGTAGTCGTAGTGTTGTGGATTCCGGGTTGAAATCCGGCACCAATAAATAACAAACGCCAGGAATGAATATATAAAAATAATGTATTAACGTAATAATACAAACTGGTAATGCAGGTTAGTAGTTCCAGGAATACGGGTTAGTAGCAAAATATATATATATACAGTCTTTGGTATTGAAGTATCGCTGTATGACTTCTTACTGAGTCTACGTGCTCGCTCACTGTGACTCCTACAACGCTGTTACCTCACCCCTCACTTACCTACAACCTTTTACTCTGTCACTCTGGACTCGACTCTTCAGCCTTGCTCTCGTCTTACTCTCGTCTTACTCTCGGGTCTTCACGTATCAGTAGTATATGTATATACTGGGTGAGTCCATTTGTGTAAAAGGGGGTGGACCCCTCAACACATAGCTTCTTTGTTAACAGTTTCTTATCCCGCACTTCTCGCTTGTAGATCCACCTGGCTCCATGCTTTCCAGCCAACTTTAATTCGCAAAAAAATTAAATGCAATATCAATCCCTATCTACTCTCCGCCTGATTTCTATTTTTTCTCCTTATTACTAATGTTTGTTTTCCCAATTCCTCCACGCCCAGTAAACCTTTGCATGCTAATGGCTCTACTGCCTTGCTTGGTCTGATACCGATTAAAAACTCAAGCTGTGAACAGTCCTACACTTCCAACTATCGGTGTATTAGCTTTCTGCTTCTTTTAGAAAGTCTCTACTAGAGGCCCTAATCAATTCTGAATGAATTAAGCACCGCACATAGCAAGGCCTTCTTTCAGACAAGCAAATATAGCTTTCGTTTCTCCAGTTTAACTGCTAATACATTAACGATTATTTCAGAAAGAGTCTAGCAAACCTTAGATAAGAATGGTGAAGCTCGGGCTGTTGCTTTGGACATCTCGAAAATTTTGAACAAGGTTTAGCATAGCGATTTTCTTCACAAGTTGAAAAATTATGGTGTCTCTTATGGTGGATTTTTGAACTAATTCAATCTTTCTTATTCAATTGTGAAATGAACGTTATCTTTAATGACCACTCTTCTAGATCCTTTTGTACCAATGCAGATGTACCCCAGGGCTCTATATTTAGTCGTAATTTTTTCCTAATTTTCATCAATGACTGTCTTAATAGCTTCAGCTCTCAACACGATGTCTATGCTGATGACTCAACCATTTACTTCTGTCTCGATTGTAATTCTAATCAGTTCGAGATGAGAAAATTGGCGGCTGGTGTCAAAAACAACCTACGGGCTGTTGTCAGCTGGAGCAAAGAATGTCTTCTTAATTTTAACGCCTCTAAAACAAAACTGATCTCTGTTAGACATTTAAGAGACCTCTTTCTGCCTTCCGTCAGCATAGTCCCAGAAAAGTGACTAGTTGCTCCTTCTCAAGCTAACATTCTCGGCTGACATGTAGTGGAAAGACTATATTGACTCCTTTCCGAGGTCCGTTGATAAGATAGTTAGTTCAATCTATCGTGCTAGACAATTTTCTCTTCAGAATGTATCTTACATATCTATAAGTCTACAATTCGACCATACTAGAATTTCGCTGAAGCATATGTTCCGGTGATCTTGCTATATATCCAGAGATTATTGATAAAATCCAAATAAGAATCAGCGATATTATTGGTCCTGACATGGTGTATCGGCTTCAGCCACTTTCTCACCACCGTAAATTTCCTCCCGTGTCTTTTCGGTAATTGTTCGCTATGCTACCAAGACTTTTTTTTAAAATTAAGCTAGATTTGCGAAAAGTTACAGTTGAATTTACAGTTGAGCTGGTAAGATGTAACTATAACTTATATGCTAACAGTTTCATTTCTCGGACTTTTCGCTTGTGGAAAGCCTCCATATCTTCCATCCAAATTTAATCTTCAAAGATTAAATGCATTGTCAGTCTCTTTCTATTTTCCTCCTGAATAATCTTCTTTTGTTCTCGCTCCTTATCAATGTTTCTGTTTCTAAATCTTCCACACCCAGTAACGCCACTTGTGTTTCAGTGGCTTTACTGCCTTGCTTGAGGTGAAATATATATATATATATATTTCAATTATAGGTGCAATTTTAATTTATAAAATCATGAATCATTCACAAAAAAAAAAACAAATATAGAGGTTAATGATTTAAATGGCGAGAATACATCTTCGCAAACAATATAAATAAGATACACCAACCCCGAACCTGTATATGAATGATATGATCCCTGTTTATAAATTCCAGTTGCATAAGGTCTTTTTAATTCTTTACAAGATTTCGTCTGTTTCTACAGACATCTTCAGGTATGAAAATAGATTTGTTCTAGTTTTTACTTCTCGGTAATAAGAGGACAACGAAAATAGAGAAGTAATCCGAAAAAATGCTATGAGAAATGTGTTATTGTTTTGGAACGTGCGGTCGCAACGCTGAGTTTGAATTTAAATTTTAAGGTTGTGCGTTTTTGTACAAATATAGTAATAAGAGAATTCTTTTTACTGGTAGGTTTTCCGTCAATGTGGCATGAACTATATTGTTCAATAGTTGCAGTAATGTCACACTTATTATCCGTAAGTTGCACGTTGGATCAGTTATTTTCATTTCAATTATAGGTGCAATTATAATTTATTATTTATATTGTTTGCGAAGATGTATTCTCGTCATTTAAATCATTAACCTCTATATTTGTTTTTTGTATGAATGATTCATGAATATATATATATATATATATATATATATATATATATATATATATATATATATATGATAATGAGCCACTAGTCAAAGATAAACAAAATAAACATTACAATTTTTTTATCTATTATTAGTTATATTCAAAGATTCTTTTACAACATTTAGTATGAATTTTAATTCTTTATATTTTCTTATTCCTTAATTGTAAAGTAACGTAATTTCAATTTTAATAAAAACGCGTTCCCAGTTATAACGTTATTTTGTTTCGTTTTACTACTAGTCAATTTGTTTTATTATTTATCTTTCAATTTTTTGAAACCACATCAATAACAATAATAAAATTTTCTCTTGTACTTTATAATAATTTTTACTTTGTATATATATATATGTATTGTATATTGATGACGATCTGTTTACTCCGACATCCAATGTATGTTCTATGCCTGTAGGTGGCAGTGGGTAGAGGTAGTACATTTGTTACTCGGCTGCTGCAATTATTATTAAGATGAACGGGCAACACTGGTCTTCACCCATCCCTAAATTTCCATGCACCAAACCCTGTAAACCGTTTCAGCAGGCGGGCTAAATCACGGGAAATTACCATCGAAATGCATTGCACTCTTCTGTGCACTGCTAGTACCGGAGATGTATAACTTGTGCTGATAAAACCTTAGGGGTATTGTTCATTGTGTCCGTGGCACATATTTGAACAAACTCCTTGTTATCAGCACTTCCAATAAGTGTGGCTGGTTCTACACAAGCCTTCACCACTCTAAACAAATCTTTTGGGCGGATAGTCTGCAGTTCAGTTCTGTGTTCCTTTTTTGCTATTCCACCTGAGCAACAAGTCCACTAGCAAGAGAGTTAAGGCGACGGGGACAAGTACAGGATTAAAAACTGAACTGAAAGACACTCATACGTCGAAAACGATGGGAGAGTTCACCACATATATATATATATATATATATATATATATATATATATATATAAATATTTAATATTTAATGAAAAACAGACCACTTTAAGGTACCATTAGAATAATTTATTTCAACAAAATCCTTTTTAAAGGACTCCGGATCATCAGGTAACAATTCCAACAACGAAATGAAAGGAAAAATGGGATTAGAAATTGATTAGAAATTTTTGTAATTTAACAGGGAGGGTGATAGTTGTAGTTAACGTGACAAGGAAGAGTATAGGGAGGGGTTAATTTCATATTTCTGTTAAGCATGCTTTATATTGTGGTAGGAGGAGTGACCTAACCGTGACCTATTTAGATGGTAAACTTAACGGAAATGATATATAGAAATGGGAGGGTAGTGAATTTACCTGATGATCCGGAGTCCTTTAAAAAGGATTTTGGTGAAATAAATTATTGTAATGGTAAATTTCAAAAATGTTTTTCATTAAATATTAGCTCTGTATTTACATTGAGCTCTCAGGATTTCATCCTCCTTGGAATTACCCATTCGGTTTACCAAGTTCTTTTGTAACATAAATATATATATATATATATATATATATATATATATATATATATATATATATATATTGTCATTCAGAAAACTGTTTCGTTGTATCAGAGCTCATCAGTGTAGCTAGACGTCCGGTTGCCTCTAGCTAGTATCGAAACCCGGCTGAATTAGCGTCAGTTGGAGAATCTACCCTACGCCTTGGCGCATATCAGTGATGAAGGTGAATTTATGCGTATTTATTTTAAATAATCATACCAGTAACTGACAGAACTCGATTCGTCTTATAGAAGAGTATTGCATTAGTAGCAGTTGTAATCACTGTTTACAAACTCACACCTTCTCTCTCTCGAGCTCAAATATATATATATATATATATATATATATATATATATATATATCCATGCAAACATAAATAAGTTAACTAGCTTAAGTGAGTTCAGATCGCAGTGGTTGCTACATACTTATGGCTTTCTGCTGTAGAATGTATCGACAGCCAGTTACGTAGATAGATTGATGAATATAAACAGAGTAAGATACAAATAAAAATTATAAGATGAAATGTCTATTTTCAAGCATGATAATAGCTGGAGAGGTCTATACGTGACAAGTTCTGCCACAGCGGCTGTGTTTCTGCCAACTGGAAGTAACTTTGGTGTTAGAACGCGTTTTCTTCTCTTCACCTCTCGTTCTGTTGAATGGTGATCGCCTGGAACACTTTATATCACGACATCTACTTCTTGGTAGCTTCCCCGCTCCCCGCGAGTTTCAGTCCATTCTACAAGAGGATAAGTATTTGAAAAGAGTCCTTGTATCTTTTCTGCGGCGCCCCACTGTTTCGCCTGTCAGTGACCAGTTGATCGAACACTGTGCTATGATCAAAGTAAATTTTGCTGCTTAAGCTCAATGCTTGTGATTTTACTGGAGTCTTGACATCGGTGTGGATATAAATTTCAACAATGCAGTTTCAAGCCTGAAGTGATCATAGGAAACATACACTGGTGATCATTTAAAGCGTTAAATTAATATTCATCACGCAGCGTTAAATTCTGGATTCACAATTTTTCTTTCCTTCTTTTTTTCTTTTTTTCTTTCTTTCTCTCGCTCTCTATCTATCTATCTATCTATGTTCATATCTGAATCTGTTCGCATCTATCTCTCTCTGTACCTATCTATCTCAGTCTGTTCATATCTGTCTCTCTATATCTATCTATCTATCTATCTATCTATCTATCTATCTCAATCTGTTCATAAATGTCATTTATCTATCTATGTTCATATCTAAGTCTGTTCACATCTATATATCTCTCTACCTATCTCAGTCTGTTCATATCTGTCTGTCTGTCTGTCTCTCTCTGCCTATCTATCTATCTCAGTCTGTTCATAAATATCATATCATATCATATCATATCTATCTATCTATCTATCTATCTATCTATCTATCTATCTATCTATCTCAATCTGTTCATAAATGTCAGTTATCATATGTTCATATCTAAATCTGTTCACATCTTTATATCTACCTATCTCAGTCTGTTCATATCTGTCTGTCTGTCTCTCTCTGTCTATCTATCTATCTCAGTCTGTTCATAAATATCATATCCTATCTATCTATCTATCTATCTATCTAAGTCTGTTCACATCTATCTATCTATCTATCTATCTATCTATCTATCTATCTATCTATCTATCTATCTGTTGAAGCTTAAATAAGCATGGAATAATATGTACGTTAACAAAATGTATTGAAACAAAGAATAGGTTTACAATATTTACAGTTAGTTTGGTATATATCTTGGGAAGACTGTTCCTGCATAATGGGTTGACAAATCGCAGTCGGGCAGAGTCTCTGGATTCAATTTCTTAATCTCTACTATCTTCCCCGTCTTCCGGTACCAACCCATATTTATATGGTCTAAGCTTATTAAATTAGGTGTATCATACACAACACTATCTAAGCCTGTTCATATCTATCTATCTGTCTATCTAGCAATCTCACTCTGTTCATTATCTATCTATCTATCTCAGGTGAGACTGGGCAAACTTTGTGTTAGTTCACGGATTAACAGATGGATCAATAAGTTCCAATTCCACGAACTTTTGGATAACGTTTCAAATATTTTTATTATATGAACGACCCAGAACATTGTGCAGGTTTACAGCTGACATTTAAAAATTAAAACACAATGACGTGCATGTAATTCCTATCAAATTCAGAAATCTTTTCCCAATGTGTTACAAGCGTATAAATACATATTCAACGTTTGACAGAAATCATTTTGACGAGTCTGTCAGTTTAAAATGTTTTATTACGCTTATGATTATCTGAAAAAATGGAGAGATGGTAATCCTAAAATGACCTATTTGGAGGACATGATGATTGCCAATGAAAACTTTCGATAGTACTTCGCTCTAGATAAGTGATATGTTTTTAAGGGAAACAATTCATTTGCTGTTGAGTGGCACTGGTTACTTCTTGATCAACTCATTTCTGATTCTCTGAAATGATGAAGCATATGACTCGTCTGATATTGTTATTCTAGATTTTATAGGAATCTAACAGACAATCCCCGAGCTATTCTGTTAGACAAAGTACCAGCTTTCGTTTGAATTTCACTCGAACATGGGAAATGATTTGCTTGAGTTGGAGATGGTTCAACGAATAAAATATGACAAGTTTATTGTCATTCGTTCCTCTTTGTTTTTTTTCCCCAAAGTTTGTGAAATGCCCATTAGTAGATTTATTCTTTTATATTCTATTTGGTACAAAATAATGTACGTAGTTTTCTTGTGGCTGAAAATGATTAGTCCATATCATTCGAATGGTTTGTGTGTTTTAAAGCAGAACAAAAAGAAAAACACAATTTTTGGTCAGGCTCTCGTGTAAAGAGCGGTTTCTGTAATGGACGCACCACGCTGCATCTTAAAACTTCATTAACGCTGGCTTGAAGGCTATTGAACATGCCACCTGCAACGGTCGAGAAAAAAAACATCCTGAGTCTTCGTTCGTCAGACTATAACACACATACACGCACACACACATACATACACAAAATAAACAAACAAACGTGTTACCAATGACTCCAAGAGATAGAAAGAATTAAACTGAGAAGAAGCGAAGATAAAAAAAATAATCGAAGTGATTAAACAACAAAAATGGAGTGGACGGGATAATTAGCACAAAGAAAATATAAAATTGCAGCAGCGATGGCAAATGCACGATAATAAGGGCAGGTGCATTTCGGAGGGATACAGCGTTTTACAGGTAAGATTTGTTGATTAGCATTGTCATGGTTGGAATGGACGTTTATAAGAAAACAACAGAGAACTAGAAATGGGTGATTATACACACACACACACACACACACATATATATATATATATATATTATGAATTTACTAATTTAAAAATATGGTTCTATCGCTACACAGGAATTACCATGTTTCAAAAAAAAAAAAAATTTTAAATTTAATTGTAGAATTAAATTTAAAATCTTTATCTCTGATTCATTTTCAAGTGATTTCCAGAAATCACTTGAAAATGGATTAGAGATAAAGATTAATAACAACACCGGATTATAAATCAAAATCTTAAAGTTCTTTCTCATTATTTTAATATATATATATATATATATATATATATATATATATATATATATATATATATGTGTGTGTGTGTGTGTGTGTGTGTGTGTGTGTGTTGTATGCGTGTGTGCCTGTGTGTGTGTCTCTAGTGTCTGTGTGTACGTGTGTGTGTGTATAGAGTTGGAGGGAGAGAGAATGGGAGAATGAGAGAAAGAGCGAGTGAGAGAGAGAGAGAGAGAAAAGAAAGGGATAAATAACAGGCATACAGAACAAAGACAAGTGAATCAAAAGTGAAGACACAATGCAATTGCCTTTATTAAGTTTGAAACTCGTGGATTATTACTAGGAATATGACAGCACAGACACACACACACACATACGGACAAAATGTACCAACACACACATAAAAATATTTATAAACACACACACATACACGCACACATATATAACTATATATAACTATATATATATATATATATATATGCAAACACATGCACGCACCTACCTCCACACACATATATTTTATGTATGTATACAAACACAACCAATCACCCATATATATATATATATATATATATATATATATATATATATATGTTTCATTAAATAATATAGACAAGTGTTGTCTATTTATTTTATGTAAATACTTTTCATAACGTCTGATAAGCTTAATAACATTATCATTAAACGAAGAAAGAAAATCACAATAATTGTGCAATATATTAAGCAATACACGGACAAGAATGTGATGATAGCTTGTTTCTGTTTACATGGATGATTTCCAAGCAACGATACACACGCTGCTCATGACGTCACACATGACCACGTGAGAGTGAAATCGAGAAGTATTAAGTATGGGAAGCCGTTGGTATAAATTAATGGCTTCTGTTATCAATTATAAACATTTAAGAATATTTGTGGAGATTACATAGTTTTTTGTTTAGGTTAGGTTTCAACTATTTTATGTATATAGCTTCAAGGATTTTTAGTTTTTCTTTGTTGTTTTCATGTTTAAGTATAATTGTGTTTTCGACAAGGATTTTACGGAATTGTGTATGCGGCCAGGCATGTTGTTTTAATATTGTTATATATATATATATATATATATATATATATATATATATATATATATAACAGACAACGAATGTCTATTATGTTTGATCATAAGCCGTTCTAAGCTTCGTATAGTGGCTTTAGCGTCGAAAGATTATAAAAGCAAAAACTATCGAACAGCTTAGAACGGTTCATGATCAGGCATAATAGACATTCATTTAACAATATATGTTTGAATAATGATCTGCTACCCAAATACATTATATATATATATATATATATATATATATATATATATATAAAGAGAGAGATACATGACTTATTAAATAATTTAGACAAGTTTTATCTACTTATTTTTCATATGAAGAAAAAAACTAATAATAATGAATTTACTATCTCCTCATATAAAAAACCTACTAGCATAAATTCGTGCAACTTTAACTATAAGAGTGAATGTCCAAATTACTATAAACTGGCAATTATAAAATCCTAATAAACTGTGCAAAAATTAATTTATCCACAAAACAATATTTCTACAGTGAACTAAAATATATAAAACAAACCCTTTAACCTCTTCCTGTTTCTTCCAAATGATTCTGTAAGCTACGAAACAAATGGTAGTCTGAAGGAGCAAGATCGGGAGAATAAGGTGTGTCCTGAATTTTCTCCCAACCAAGTTCTTCGATCTTTTGTGACGTGATTCTTGTTGTGTCGGGTCGCGCATTGTCCTGATGAAACATCACCCCTTTTAGATTCACTAGAGCAGGTCTTTTTTTCCTCAAAGCTTGGTTCAAACGCTCTAACTGCTGACAGTATATTTAAGCATTAATTGTTGCATTAGGTGGTAAGAATTCAAAGTGGATTATTCCTTGGCGATCCCACCTGACTGAAAGAAGAACCTTTTGCCCATGAAGCTGTGACTGGGGTCCTTCCCCTTTACCAAGCCACTGTCTACGACGCTTAACATTTCGATAAAAGATCCATTTTTCGTCGCCAGTTACAAGTCTATCCAAAAAAGGTGAAACAAGTTGGCGAAAATGGAGAGAAGATCAGATGTCAAATCGGGATTTGAGGTTGTTTTCAGACAATTCATGAGGCACCCATTTTGCAAGTTTAGGAACTTTTCCAAGTTGTTGAAGATGACGATGAACAGTTGTATGGTTTGAACTGAGAACCACTGCCAATTCCTCAACTGATAAAGCAGGATTTTCTTCAAGGGCTGCTTCAAGAAGCTTTTCATCAAACACAACTGGACGTCCGGTTCGATCTTCATCTTCAAGGGTGAAATCTCCACCTCTGAATTTTGCAAACCATCTTCTGCAAGTTCTTTCATTCACACATTCCTCTCCATAAACTGAGTAAATGTTTCTAGCCGCTTCGGTTGCTGAGTTTCCTTTCTTGAACTCATAAATCATTATATGCCTCAACTGATTCTTGGATACTTCCATGTTAGTAGGGTTTTAATCAAACAAAATTTAATTTTATTGTTCTCTGAAATAAAATTTGATCAGTTTAAATGCATCTAAACATAAAAATAATGTTCAGCTCCATTAGAGATTATAAAATACTCTTTAAATTTCATTTATTTTAACAAAAAGTTAAAATTCGGACAGAACTTATGGGATGACCTGATACTATACTAAATTCAATATATCCAGTTTAATCATTTGTAATGAGTCCTCCCCACAAATTAACATCTTACTGAAAATCAACATTATATATAAATTTAAATGTCCCTTGGGAAATTGTATCTTCAACAGAAAAAAGAAATTATGTTGGTAACACTACAACTATGTTGGTAACACGACAACAAACTAATTATTAATACTGCACAAACGTTTTAAAATAGTTACAGTAGATAAGTTAAAAAATATCTAGGTTTTTAACTAATAGCTTTAAACAGTTTAAAAACAGACAGACATCTTAATAACTTAATTGCATCCACTGACATTACTCCATGTGTATGCTTACATCTTAGAATTGAAAAATCGTACATTTCATAAATTTAGGGATTTTCACTTCACAAATAAAAAAAAAAATTTCAGATAAACACAACAAATTTATC